CAGAGGGTGCAACAGATCAACCAAAGAGAGAATGAAGCTTCATCTGACCTGGCACCACTAAACGGCGAAAAGCAGCTTTGAGAATATTTACTCAATTTTTGCATTTCGATAGAGGGGCTCACAAAAAAAAAAAAAAAGGAAATTCTGAGTTATGTCAACAGCCAATCAGAAACAAAGAAGATATTAGAAACAGCCAATCAGAAAGCAGGAAAAGCGGTACTAAAGACAGAGGGAATAGCTGTTCCCGAGACGGACCGCGACCTAGGCTGGTGAATAACTATTCCAAACAGTCTTCTGGGATTTAATTGCCAACGAATCTTTCACTTCATCATTTTTGGCTCACAGTGGTGCATACCATATAGATATACTAGATATACTCATGCATACCTCGAAAACGCCTTTCTTCAGTTGCACTTGACCAAAAGAGGATGAATTCTATTTTAGACACATATTCCGGAGAAGATTTCTTGTTAAACGTGAACGACAATACTGCGAAAGAGTGTAGTTCCCAAAAGACACGCAAGGGTGAAAACATCTGGGCTCCATGAAGTCACAAACTCTAACCACAACCTTTTATTTCACACTGAGAAAACTCATATTGCATCTTATATAATCAGAAAAATAAATGGAGTAGTGAAAGCGCATTTTTTTCTGTTAAAAAAAACCAACACCATTTGATCTTTCTTATTTCCCCATCCTGTGAGCCTGTATATTAAGAGAATGTTCAATTCTACATGTGCGAATACTATTTTCTGCTACATCGTGTTTTTAAATGAAAGCCGAAAAATGTTTAATCGCTCGCCAGATTCAACACAGGAAAACTTAAGACCGATTCAATCGAGTGAGATATGTACAATCCATCCAGTTCACTTCCACAAGCGTGTACGTTTATATTTTCAGTCAGTGAAACCTTAGCTTCGGAAGGTGCGTGCATGTCGCGTAAAAACACTTCGCTCCCACGGTATTCAAGAGTCTGCACGTTTGGTTTTCCTAACTTGATCGCTCCTACATTTAATGAGCGACTGATTTTCAGATACTTTATTTACAAACGTAAATGCACTCACCATTCTCGCTTTCTATATTGAGGCGGCCGCGGCTCCTCTTCTGACTCTCGTGCTTTACTTTAGGTTCGTTCTGGCGGTGTAAATCGCGAGTGCCTGATTTCACCGAAAAGTTTATAACCCCTTTCATTATAATCACCTTCCATCGAGGACTCAAAATCCGAATAATCAGACCCCGAAATAGAACTGCTCTTACTCAAATTATTATCCGCCATGTTTACTTTGCTTAATGTACACGTGTGACGTATAAGATCACATGATAAAAGCGTTTACGGCGGATGACTCACGAAGCTGCATTTAGGACAGTTTTCCCGGCGAAAAAAGGCACAAAGAGGCATTCGAAGCACCTTGTATCTGTTTCAATGTGTTACCTGAGGCATTTAATCGGTATTCCAATAAGTGACCTTGTAGCCGTCAGTTAACCTTTAATCTTTTCTTGTACACCTGGCTGTAGGCCTTCTCACAAAATGAGTTGGGCATCCTTCTTGAAATAATCCTTCAATATAAAATTAGTTTGTCAAAAGAACTATGAAAAAGCTTTAATCTTAACTGAAAGCCGAGTAACCCCCATTATGTTATTTGGAGAATTTCTTTTTGTTTTCCTTTTTTTCGTGGTTTCTACCTTCCGACTAAGGAATGATTTGCTTGGCTCGTTCTTTGTGTAAATTTCTACTGAGTTGTAAGGCCTTTATATGATTCTTTTTAGTCCTCTCTAGATGGAAAGGGAGATCAGAGCACAAGCAGTAAGCATCCGTAAATCTTATTAGACGTTTTAGTGTGTAGTATTGCTGAGTATTTATACGAGTTGTGCCGTATTTTGACGAGGCCGTAGGGCGAGTCAAAATACAGACAACGAGTAAAAAATGAATACTCAACGAAACTACACACCAAAACGTCTAATACAAAATTTTCATAATCCAATAAGTTCTTCTTCCGCTAAGCCTCTCTGCTCATTTCTCATAAGACGGGAAAAGAAAAGCGAGTAAAGAAGCGTAGTTTTTGTTTGCAGTACAAAATAACCAACTGTTCAATGTCGCAGGATATTTGTACTCTATTCATGCGTCATTTGCATTCTACTTTGTGCAGTCACGGATGATAATACCTGATTGTGTCCTATTACTACGTTTTAGTTAGTAATATATGATCTTCAATTATGGTCACATATTAACTAGTCTGAGCTGAAATAATGATATAAGGCAATTCAAATTCGAACGTGACTTATCTTACTATATTATACACAAGCACGGCGATACTTTATATTTGGTATAGGGCGACGGCGTTCAAATATAGTTCAGTTGTCTAACACATCAGTTGTCTATCTAAGTCTGCTAAATTAAAAAAAACAGTGAAATAGTAATAGATAAGATGATCGATACATGAAAGGAAGGAAGGAAGAAAGAAATTAGTGATGTCAGTATTAATTTTATCGGTCCTTGCTTTTTTAATCCATCGATATGTTTTGCTAATATATAGATTCAGCCAAGCCTTAAAGTGGGGCTCTTGTTAGTTTATTTTCCAGCCCTTCATTTTACCTAATAAAACTGTAATAAAACTCTTCAGCATAGACTTTAGTAGAGTTTCTTCAAGGGGATAAGGGACCAGACGAGGTTTGGAACCTGGGGACGATGTTCTCACAACTTGCCAAGCGATCAACACGCATTCTAGTCTGCGGTATCTTCAGACGGCTCAAGACCTTCGTCGCTGTACCTAATGTTTTGAGCAAGTTTTCGAAGATAGGGAATGTTTTCTTCTTCAGATGAAGTGCATGATGTCAGCATCAGTTGAAATTATAGTCTATTAAGCACGACTTATAATTTCGGTCTGAGAAAATGAGCCAAATTGTAAGAAACGACGACAAACTACTTTGCTTTAAGACATCACTAGTCGATTGGAGTGTATACACGTCGGCACAGTGAGTCAGTAAAACAATACGCCAGAATCGTATGGGCTTCTCTCGTACCTTCTCTTGAAGTTTCCAGGTATGACTGCTTTCTCAACCGTTTTTCCCTATCGTTTCAACCTCCTCTGTTTAGCGTAGAAAATTAAATAGAAAAGTAATATTCCACTCGTGTTTGAACCTGTAATTTTTAAAAACTTTTTCGCTGCTTTCGGCTTCTCATGTTGCATGATTGTCCTCTGGCTGGAAATACACGACGTCTTTTTCTGATATTTTATCTTAATTAATTCGGTAACCACTGGTGTAACTGCATATAGTGTAGAGGTCTTCAAGAAAACTTGAGATAATACCTGGATTTCATTTCCACATCACAGAAATCAATTCCAAGCACCAATCAAGTTTTCTCTTGAGTTTAAAAGTTGAGTTGATGTTGTCATTGGCCATGCTAAATGTGTTGAAAAGTTTTAGATGGGATTTTCTTATGTTTGCCATTAGTTGAATTTACTGGAGGTTGAAGTTGTTGCAACAAGTTATAATTAACATGAAATAATGTTTGAAATGCCATGTCCATAACAAGCTAACAGGATTGAGGAGGCTGTATTTGGGAACAGGCTCTCTCTTCTGTATCATTAATTAGTTACTTGTTCCTGTTAGCAATGTTTTGATGAGGTTGGGCTGTCAGGGCTAAGGAACTGAGGATTTTAGTAGGCAATGACTTCTTTCAAACCTGGAAACCATCATTGTGAAAGCCATACTTGTGCCTGGTAACTTATTCTTATTTTGATAAACTGGTTTTAAGAAAGATAGAGTATTTTATTATATAAATTTGATACATAGACTGTGCGCAAAACTTTAATTTGACTCAAATTTTATGCTGATACCAATCTCTACCCATGATAAAATGTTAGGAGGATCAGAGGAAAAATAATGTGCCATACATCTGCAAGATTTCATGCAATGACTTTAATCACATAAATATTAATTAATCATAGGAGATCTAAGAATTTTCAAAACAGAAGAAAATTTGGTTGAAAAGTTAGAATTCAGCATAGGCCAGATAAACAAGATTCTTAGAAAAAGAAATGTGTACTAATGAAAAGGCTAAGCAAACGTTTTTACAACACTTACCTGTACCTTTATGGCACCCAATAAAGTTCGTCATAATCCTGGGTTTATATGTTGAAAACATATGCAGATTTCCTCTAAACCTGTAGTTCAAGCCTGTGATGACTTCGAAATTTTGATGCACACCTCAAAAGGACAAATAAATTTCACTTCTCTATTTATTCAGTTTACATGTTGGCCAGTGAGGTAAACATAAGTCAAACATTCATATGACGACAGGTTAAAAAAACTTTCACAACTAATTTTTAAGATTAGTCCACCTGGAACAGTTACCTTAATGTACAAATTAGACAGGTTTGTAGTGATGATGCCCAAGAGAACTATCTGTGGTAAGGGGGCAGGCTTAGGTTATCATCTCTCCACGAGTTCAGTGGATATTGAGAGTGAATGAGACTTTTTAGTGACTGTTATTTGGATAAATATCCAAAGGAGGATAAAAAGTAAGATATGGTTAGCACAACTCTCTTATTCTAATTTTTTAACCCATAGAGATAAGGCATTTTTATTATTGCTTTGTGCATTATGTGGACGCCAACTAATTTAACTTTCATGCGTCAAAATACAAAAAATGTCATCTTCATCTATGTGCCCTAAGCATTACAGGGGAGGAGGCTGGTCAAAGTAAAAACATGAATTAAAACAAGAGGGCCCTCATTAACCAATTAAGGGAGGATCTTCGCTTTCCCAGATTCCCACCCTTTGAAACTCACATATATTGTGACCAAAATATATTAAAGTTCACACGGCAACCAGGTGGACAATCAGACATAGTTTGATGCTACACTGGTTTGCAGATTTAATGAATGTAACCGAAGAAGTTACAATTCATAGACCCAACGTTTCGACACTCCTGTCTAGTGCCTTCATCAGGGGTGACCTAAACGCTGCAAAAAGAAGTCCTTTTATATGATCACTAATTAGCGGCCTTTTTTTCTGACGAGGTGTAAATAGGCGTCAGGAAGCAGACCGCCATCGTCACGATTTAAAGGAGCGTGGGCGGAGTTAATGTGCCAAGCCTCCAAACAAAGGCGCTGGTGGTAACACCGATTAGTGGTGATAATTTTAGAATTATCCCACCCAATTGTATGGTTGGTTAGGCAAGTATGCTCCGATAAAGCTGAATTTTCCTTTTTGCAAAGAAAAACCGCTTTTTGGTGCTCTTTTAACCGTGTGCCAAACTGGCGTTTGGTCTGTCCGATGTAGTCGTTGTCACAGTCATTGCAAGGAATAGAATAAATGGCGTCGGTTCGTTGTTCTTTTGCGACAGGATCCTTAGGTTTGGCGAAAACATGCCCCAAAGTCTGAAAAGGTTTTTGAGCAACTTTAACGTTGTGGCTATTCAAAATTCTCTTGATGGGTCCAGTAACACCCTGTATGTAAGGAATAACAGCAAAAAAGTATATATTGTGACCATTTCGAGATATCAATGTTTAGTTGGGGTATTTGGTGAGAATAACCATGCATTGATGAAAGCTTGAGCAAGAGTATTTAATGCTATCTGAATAATAATATTACATGTTACAATGTGGTAACTTACACAGCAAAATTATACAATCACACAATTCCCAAACAAAGGAAGTCAGGTTATTGATTCACCTGCTTCGACTTTTGAGGGCTTAGAGTACACAGATATAGATATGGTAAACAGTTACAATTAATACAAAGTTGAAAGTTTGAAAGTTAAAAGGTATACATTACAACCATTAGAACCTATGCATCCTGGCAAAATAAGGTCAATTACCACCATAGCTTCTCCCAAACATTCATGCTTATAGGAAATCATTAATTGTTGTTACTAGGTGGTACTGAACTTAAAATATTTCTACCACCAAAAATGCATTTTTCTAAAGTTATCTCATCGCGTATGACTGTACAGGTCATGTGGAAGGAGCATTTCAATTACCCCAGAAAACTTTAATCATCAGAATTGCAAGCCAAGGTGTATTTTCTACGTGCTCAAGTTTCCAAATTAGTCACCTGATTGTTACAGTGGAGTTCACTCCTTTTTGGGGCTATCTTCAGCTTGATTATCCTGTTACATGTGAAAACATCAAATGTTACTCATATATTCAAATAATTACCCAGAGGAGTTGATATATTTTTTTTAATAACCTGCTTCCTTTAGCCCTTCATCTCCCATGAGTGACCAAGACATAATTTCTCCTTACAATATCAATACAGTATCAAGCAGACAAGTGATGAAAATAAATAAAAATATTAATTAGGGAATTATTAGTTGATCTAATACCAAATTCTCAAAACTAACATCATGCGAACTATACGGCAGACAGTAAGGAGAATTACCAATGAGATATAAGGAGTTAAAGGGTTAATTGTGCTCCAGAAGTAATAAATGGTATTGAAGAGAAAGGGAAAAAGTTCTTGAAACATTATATGTTAAAAAAATTTTTGTTATGAATGTTAACCCTCTAACTCCCATGAGTGACCAAGACATAATTTTTCCCAACAATATCAATACAATATCAACCAGATAGGTGATGAGAATAAAGACAAATAGCAATTTGGGGATAAGTGGTTGATCAAATACTAAATTCTCTGAACTAACATTGTAAGAATTGTATGGCTGACAGTCAAGGAGAATTACAGATTTTATCTAAGAGTTAAAGGGTTAATTGGAATGGCAACTAAAACATCTGTAAACTATAATAACAATTACCTTTCCAAGTAAACAACAACAACATAATGAAGCATGATATGAATAACTTTAATCTCACCCAGTTGAGTGTAGAATCCAAAATCTTATTAACTTACTAGGGAATAGGAAAAAGCTCAATGTGTTTTCCTGCTTTTGTCATTCTAAATATCACAAATCAATCACACCACCATTTCATTGGGGTTTTTTTTATGGTATATACTTTTTCTTATGGACATCTATTCTTAGTATCTATCTTTTACCACCTGACATTTGAGAAGAATCAAGTCCACACTGGTAATTTGACAAATTGCGGGCAAATCCTACCACTGATTAAATTATATTTGAATAAAAAACGTAAAGAGCAATAGAGGAAATTACCTAACACAATCCAAGTTTCCCTTCTTAAGTATACTGTTGTGTTTCTTCTATCATGTGGTCGACTAAGTTTACAGTTTACCTCATTTTACTGTCTTATATTCATTTCTTTATTTGCTTTCCTAACAACATGAACTATTGTTGCCAACGAATGCAAGGAGCATATAAAATGTGTAGCTATCAACACTTTAATCTCTGAGAATGACTAGCATCTAATTTCTCTTTTCAATATCATCCCTATATCAAGCATTAAGATCATGAGAATAAAGGAAACAATATTCAACTGAAGAACCTTGTGATTGTTCAACAAATTCTCCTTGCCAGCACATAAGGAAATGTATAGATGATAGTATGGAGAAAATGTATACTGATGTTAGGGTGTAAAGGGTTAAAGACATCATGTAATCAGTTTTATATATGTAGGGTATTGCTTGAATATATAATTTTGGTAAGTGCAATTGTAAACATCATTCTGTGGTCTTCTACTCTTACACCTTGAAGGGTCCCTTTTTTACATAAAAATTGAGGTTTAGTGCCTTAAGTTGCTTTTTTGGCCACAAAGATCAACAAAGAACAACAGCCACACCAAAAAACATATTTTTAAAGACACCTCTACAATGGTAGGTACACACAACTGACATGCTTGAGCTAAGCATGTGAAGCATTAAGGTATGATTGTCAATTTTCCCTCTTTGGGCACTATTGTGCAAAGGGATTAATTGCCTCACGCCACGCGACACACCTTTGTCTATTCTTTATTGTTTACAGTATTAGGTTTCAGTTTTGTTACAGCTCTCGTAGCGTGAACAGTGTTTTGTCAAGTGGCGTTGTTTTTCCCGCCCACCCACCCCTTTCTTGTTAGTGTGTTTAGGTGAGGTGGCAGAGAGGTTTATTTCGCTTCCTTGTTTGTTACTGTTCGGTCCTATTTCATTATTCTAGGATCTAGCTGAATAAACCTCTCTCTTGGCCAAAAACAGATTGTGTTGTTGTTGTGTTGTTGGCTTGAACAGATTAGGAGAGGAACTTTCGTAGTCCAACACCGACGATGTAAGAATATCACTGGAGATGCTATCGATGGTAAATGCCATTTTCGCATTATTGCTGTTGTCGATCGAAAACAAACGTTTCCCATTTCGGTCTGTGTCGGAATCACTAGCCTGCCCTTAGAGAATTGTCGTTCCCGGGGGACTGTTTTATAGGACTGAGGCATTGTAGACAGACGCGGCAAAAACTGGAGCGTGTAGGTTCAGTTTAGCTTTCATGTTTCACGCTGCCCCGTCATATCCAGGATAACACTCGCAAGTGTTAGGTAAAATGCAATCGCCCCTCTTGAACAGGGATTGAGACTGGAGCAGTCTGACACACTGCAAGCTGCACCATGCCATAAAGAGTCGCAAACACATGTGTCATAGCCGCTGCATACACCATGACCTATCCAGAGCCATTTAAATCAGTCAGTAATTATTTAGATATGCTTCGGTAAGAATTTTAGCCCCAGTTACCGGCTGATTTACAAATTATCAAACAAACAAATAAAATACGATCTAAATGTAAGTAATATTTGTTATCATGAAAAAACCAAGCAGCATACAGTCCGAACAGTTAAGACTAACGTTTTAGACAATGTCTAACCTGAGCAGTAGTTAACACCTTCACATGACACATTTTAGCAGTCCACCCAACTGTAGCCCATGTTACATTTGCAAAGGTTTGCCTCGACTCAGACATCGTGACCAGAAGAATTGTTTACTGAACAACAGGAGGGATGGCTGCATTTCACACCCCTAAACTCGTCATAACATATAAAGGAAACAAGAAATCGTCAAAAAAAGTTAGCCGTGAGTAGGAAAAAAAAGAGAGGAAGACAATGAGTCAGTTAAAGATATTAGCCAAAGGATAGTAATAATGAAAACAAATTCCACCAGAAAGTTATACAAATAAAAATACATTGAAAAAAAAATTACGTTAAAATTTGACTTAATTTAAAAAAATGGAAGTGGCGATGGCGGCCTTTCTTATTCGTTCGGCAGGAAACCTCAGTCGTTCAAAGTTCTAAAATTTGAGGTGCATCTTTCTCATTCAGTGCCTTGCTGAGGGAGTCTTTGAAAATCCCTTTCTAATATTACAACTGTGCAACTGACTTAAAGACGTGTTAAAAGTATTAAAATGTTCTTGGACGTTTCCCTTGATCGCTTTCTGCTCAGTAAGACGCTAATGTGCAGAGCGCCTTGTAAGAACTGAAAGCCATTTTAGCGATGTCAAATTTCCACCCACGAGCTTAAGTTCTTTAAGCAGAATTTTGTGCTTTATTGAGTCAAAAGCCATGTAATATAATAAACTAATAAATGTTATGTGCCGCACAAAAGCCATATTGGCTGATTTTAGCAAATCTCCACAGTAATAAACGAAAGTAGGGAGAAACGCTACGATTTTCCCATCGATTTTTCGTCTACATGTATCTCTCTGAACGTGAAATTTTCCATTCCTACAAAAAATTCTCGAAAGTTTTTAACTTTTTTTACCTTTTTTGATGAACCATCTTGTATGAAGAGCTAAAAAGTGTAGGTTTATTTGATCAAGTGACCATCTAGAGTAAGAATTACGTGACAGGTGTAGTTGAGAGAAACTTGTCACAGTCGCAGATTTTAAAAGGCATCCAAGACAAAAATACGGTAGTGCCCAAAGGTTTTTTTCAATGATTTTCAGATATAAAATGATGGATTATAAAGGGGATCAAAATTAGTGTTCTAGCTTTCTGGCAAGGGGAGATATTTGAACCCAAAGTTGTCAAATATTTGGAAGAATCGAAAAGTCTAAAAACGCAGTCGTTTATTTGCCTCTGTTGATTGACAAGCCGACAATCAAATTGACTGATACTTGCGGCGAAGATTAACTAAGGATGTAATAATATGTGTACAAATCCTCATGATATTTGGTTAAATACCATTGCAGTGAGAGCTTCATACATTTTACCCATTTTGAAGCAATTTTCTTGGTGAAAACCAGGAAAAACCGGGGGGGTGGTCTATCTCTCCCCGGGAAAAACCAAAGCAGAAAGCAGTCTGTTTTTTTTAGTTTTGGGGTAGACCCTGTAAACTGGCAAGGTTTCATTGAAATCGTTGAGATGGCATGTAGCACGACTGCCAGGTGCTCTCGTGGACACACTCTTGAATGTTTTCCTTCAGTAGAATTTTAGACAATAAAACTGACGAAAGATCAAATGAGGCCTAAAACTACTGTAAATTAATTTTAAAATCTTTTAAAAATTCAAGCTTACGCCGATCCACGGTATCACCAGGGATAAGCAAAATATTTCGCGTAAGTCTTAAAGTACTGATGACACGAATTTTTCTTTTGCATAAACATGTAGCTTATTATAAGTACAAACAAATTCTGACAGAAAAAAAATTTAAAAAACTTGAAAGTCAGTTTTTTCGGGCCCGAAAGTGCGCTTATCTTGTCTTAAAGAGTCCGGTGGACTGGTGACGAGTTGGCGGGTGATGACGTAGAAAACTGTGAAAACTCTCAGTTGACACTTACAAATCTCTCACATCTCTTGTAATTTTGTCTCGGTCAGAACTGAAGTACTCTTGGAATAATGACCGATGATCGCCATATACCTACTTTCAGCAAGCTCTACCGAGACTTGTGATACATTATACTCCAGTAACAAAGAAGAAATAGAAGTTGCGAGTGCGGTTCAGCCCTACGAAGGAGAACCACGTGCATCGATCGCGAACGAAGACGTCGACGGAGTCTGACAAAGACGGTTTCTCGCCTGCGGTGTTCAGGTTAAGATTAGAACAAAAAAACTCCCATTACTGAATGTTTGTGAATGTTGCGTTTGTGTTATATTTTCAATGGCGAAGTCTATGTTCAGAATAGGTAGCTGTGCTCGTGTCTGTTGCCACAACATTTTATTCCTTCGCGCCAAGTGCGACAAAGGTTCCCCTTAGTCAGTGCTCTAGAGTTTCGTTGTTGTGGAGTAATTCCCTGACAATCCAAAAGCTTACTTTTGACGAAAGAATCAGCTGTATCAGCTGTCATCGAACCGGTCAACGGAAAAAGAGTGACTTTATAGTCATACGGTTCAAGTTTATCTCAAATGGAGATTTTAATAGAGAAAAATTTCTTTAGTTTAACTGCAGCATTGCCACCTGACCCATTTCGGTCTACGGCAAATAACTGACATCATGTATGGTGGACAATCAGACATGGTTTGATTCTACTCTGGTTTACAGATTTAATGAATGTAACCGAAGAAGTTACAATTCATAGACCCAACTTCTTCGTTTACATTCATTAAATCTGTAAACCAGATTAGCATCAAATCATGTCTAACTGACATCATTTTTGTAAATTAATATTTCGTATGATTCGCTAACTCTAATTCATTCATATTTGTTTCTTTATTTGTCTCGTTGCAGTGCTGTTATTACAATGACATTGCTACTGTTGCTAGTTTTAGTTTCTTGAAGCTCGCGGAAAATTGATGGCTCGTGGGATATATTTTCGGAAACCTAAGTTGGGATAATACACGGCCTCTTCGAGCTTGTAATTACGCCAGTATCCACCAGAGGTTTCGCACTGTTCAGACAACAGGATATCGGTCAGCTCAGGAAAGGGCTTAAACTTCATTACAAATGATGTTTTTCTGTTATTAAAATAATACGGAAATTACAACTGATATAATTATCATACAGAAAGAAAAGTGCAAATTAAATATAGTCATGTGGAAAGACAAAGAGTGTGATTACCTTCCAAGCAGGTGAAATAAATAACAAGAAGCTCACCATTCTTCGCTTGCGAAATGTCAGCCGAACAGAATGTGGAACAGTCGTGTGCGGTTTGGTAACAGGCCTCTTAATCAGCATTATTTTTAGCTGAATTCATAGGCCATCTTCACCTGATTTGACTGTTGGTATGTGTTCGTAACAGCCGTTTTCGAAGCCAGTAGGGAGCGTTAGGCTGACCACATTGCAGAGAAAATCTCTTCGACGTCGACGATCGAAACGCGTCCACTTTGGTTTTCATAGTTTTCATAGTTTTCTACGTCACCGCTATATAATATCACTGTTTTGGCCACGCGCTTAATGGAGACGCTTGTCGGCCGTCATATCGTACTTTCAATGCGTACGAAAATGGTCGCTAGGCACTAAAGCCGATTATTTCTAATTTGAACTAAAGCTAGCAACCAGAAAATGGCGAAAAAATTCGTGTCTTAGGCACCTTAAATACGAATGTAAAGTAAAAACGTATGAAAGGCGAAAGAATGCCAGGAGTAAAATGTATAAGATAATAATAAGGAACAAATGCGAAGAAAAAACGGAAAAATGATCTAATGAGCGAGTGTCAGTGTACAAAGAATCTCTAGATATGCTCAAATAGTCATTAGAACAAAAATTCCGCGAGTTCGCTGCATTAGGAGTTGAGGGTAGGTTTATATCTTCGTATGTAAAATACTTCGTACGGGCCTAAATTTACGGGGTCTTTCTAGCACAATGGTCTTGATTTCGATGCCTTTGTGGACTCTGTCTTAGTACTTTGAGATGTGTTTCTTTACGGATGAGTTTTCATTGTACGTTTATAAGATACGGGGCTGCAGAGAGGATGGCCCTTGCTCCCTGTGTATGTAAAATCTTGCGTCTTATGGTCATCAGGATGAGTTTCCGATTAGACCACAATTCATATTTAGTAGGAATCTTGAAACTTACAAGCTTACAAATATAATCAAGTGCTATACAATGTACTGCTTTGAAACATAGTAAAATAATCTTGAATTCTTTGCCGTACTTAACTGGAACAATAGTGATGCAATCTGGTTAAATTTCAGTTGTTTCAGGAGAAGTTTAGAGGCTGTATTCCGAACTCTTTGCAGCTTTGAACTTGAGGTACGCCTTAACGCAAACAAAAGGTTTCTGAAAACAGGTGATCTTTAAACGCGAGAACTTCCCAATGATAGAAGAGATGTTTACGTCTAAGCCTGGTCCCCACAATAAGATGGCTCTGTTTGGTCAAAATTGAGAAGGAGTTCATCGTGCTCTTTTCATAAACGGACATCATTGGGCTTTAACGAAACATACAGCTGTTAATCGTCTGCATATTAGTGAGCGTACGAAAGATGTCGATCAATGACGTCAAAAAGCTTCAAAGACTAAATTATATACAACAAAAGAACACGGCAGGAACCTTGAGAAACACCCGGAACAGACCAAGACTAACAGACAAGGTGCCATTTATAGAAACGCGTTGTTTACGGACAGATTACAGACCGAATTGGGCGCCATTCTGTCCTTTTACCATTACTAATAGCAGATCACATGAAAGAAAACTCATTAAATAGTAATGAGGTTTACGTGCTATTTCTTTAAAAGTTGAATAATCCCCTAATAAATCTACCAAACATTTAAATAGAATAAACGAAAGAAAAACCAACAACCAAACAAACGAACAAAAAGCGAGGACAGCGGTATGAAGAGCCGTTCTACAGATAACTAAAACCATATTAGGATCTTAACCGAAGGTTGTATACCTTTTTATTCCATTAATGATCGTGATAATAAGAAGGGTGTCAGTTTGATCCCTCAGTGTTATTCGAAGAGATCGCTACTCTCGGAAACTTTTTTTCTTTTGTTCGACGTTACTAGTTTCGGATTTGGATGAGAGACTATAGCTTGGTCAGGACAGGATGAAGAACTTGTTACGGACACATATATCAGATTATTATCGAACTGTTTTTAATAAAATAACCACTCTTATCTACATAGACAATTACGTATTGAAATCTGCTTGCTTCCATACAACTTCGTCTTTTCTATTCAAAATATACTCTAAAAACTAACAACTTATAATATATGTAAAAATATGTGACATTAATCCAAGAAATAAGTGCACAAACACAAAAACTTGCTCATTATTGAGATATCTTTTGGTTACAGCCAGTTACCGTCAATTTCTTTATTGTCATTTTCATAATAAACGATCCATAACAGCACGTCATTTTCATTGGAGTCAAAATGTATGATTTTGATTAAATGTCCAGCATTTTAATTTTTCTGTTCCTTAGAGGATATGTTTCGCAGCACCAGATTCTCGTCAAATTTGTATAGCCGTAGTAACTTAAAGTTTACAACATTTCACGGTTTTTTACAAATCACATCGGCAAAAGGTCCCGCTTTCAAAGCCTTGTCGTCTCAAATATCGTTTGGGTAATTTAGTATTATCAATTGAGTTGATAACGTAAATTGGCCACCTTAAAGAGTTAAAAATCAAAGCTGACGTTTCGAGCTTTAGCCCTCTTCAGAGCGACGAAGCTCTGAAATACAATTTGAAATACTTCGCTCGTAGCCATGACAAATTAACCTGGATTTACTTCGGCAAATCACATGTTACGGTAATTTTTAATAAATATCGCCTTTGAGTCTGCTTTAGAATGTTGTATACTCATTCACCTTGTTCGAAGAGCTTCATTCGTTCAAAAAGAATCGAATTAAAATCCAGCGGTTTAAGGATGTCTTCGTACAACAGCGCCAGTTCCTCGTTACTGAGTTTTTTGGCATTCTCCGTAAGACGCGAGTCACTTTCCACTGTGGCGCGGTCGATGGACGTGCACGGCGCGCTGCAAACCCTTAATCGCGGCTGATTTACCTTAGGTTTGACACCAGTTGGATCGCTTCCTCTTCGGTCGCGTTTTTCTTGTTTAGACCCTGTCGTCGGAACCAACGTCGTAAACGATCTTGGTTTTCGAGCTTGGTGATCACCTGTAGGCCTCAATGCCTTTGTAGTGGAAGATAACCTCATTTCTTCTTGTCTCTCTAACTCCCGCAGAACTGATGATAAGCTGGGAAAATTGTCGATATCAATGATTATACTCATCGTTTGAATTTGTACTTCGATTTTTCGGCTGCCGCCACAACCAAATCAGTAATAATCACCTTGACGTTACCCACTTTTATAGGGAACTCCTTGCGCTTATTGTTGATGATCATTGAAATTCCCGCTACCCCGGCGATTAGTTCTTTGCAAACAAGTGAGGTGAATTTCGTTTTTTCATCAATTTTCATGCGCTTACCGTTACTAAAGGAAAAAAAGTTATTTGACAAATATTTCCTTTTGACGTCATTTGAAAAGACCGAATGACGTTAATCGCTTAAGTTTAACGTTTTGCTTACAATTAGATTGTATTTCTTTCCAGCATATTTACTTAGAAATTTCTAGAAATTCTAGGCACTAATTTAGTACTAATTCATATGAAGGCACTACGTTCATTTTCTTTCGAGATTGATTTTGCCGTATTGAATAAATGCAAAGAGTCAAAATTATTTTTGTACCGATTCAGCAAGAAACAGATATAGCCCAAAAACCTAGTCGATGGCCGGAAATACTCATGCATTGAGATATCCAAATTCTTTTGCAAACAGATAGCAGTTAAGTCAGTTAGATAGTGAAATATTTCACACTTTAACGACATTTTCTTTTATTGTTTTATAAAATAACAAGACTACAGACGACATCTAATATCGTCAACTCAGTAAAACTTGTGTTGCCATGGATACATGCTCAGTTGCCGTAAGGGGAAGGGGTGTTGCTACAATAGGTGTTAAGATATCAGTTAAACTGAGCTCTCTCTCTTGCGAACTTCAGTTGACCTGGAGACATGATAGTATTGGCTGTAACTAAAATCAGATTCAGTATTGCCATAGTTACTTGCTTTGCTGTTGTTAAGTAAATGGGTGTCGACAAACCTAGTGTTTTAGTACAAATTGATATATTTATTTCATTGACGTAAGTTCGTTTGGAGCAATTAGTATCAATACAGACAGCTTTAGCGTTGCTATAGTTTCATCCTTTGGCAGTGTAAAAGGAACCAGGTGTTGGAAGACGATTGGTTGAATACCAATTAAAATTATCTCTTTCAGTCACGCGGAAAATTTATTTCCCAGCACTTTCTTTCTTTCATGTAGTCTGTGGACTTGTTATTTTATAAAATAATGAATGAAAATAGCGTTAAGGTGTGAAATATTTCACTCTCTGACTGACCTAACTGCTATCTGTTTACAGGAGAATTTGGATATCTCGGTGCATGAGTATTTCCAGCCATCGCCTGGGTTTTTTAGCTACATCTGTTTCTTGCTGAATAGGTACAAAAATAATTTTGACTCTTTGTATTTATTCGATACGGCAGAATCAATCTCGAAAGAAAATGAACGTAGTGCTTTTCAAGTGAATTAACACTAAATCAGTGCCTAGAATTTTGAGGAATTTCTAAGTGAATGTGCTTGAAAGAAATACAATTCTTTAATAAGCAAAACGTAACACTTACGCGATTAACGTCATTCGGTCTTTTCAAATGACGTCAAAAGGAAATATTTGAGAAAAAACATTTTTTTTTCTTTAGTAACGGTAACCACGTAAAATTTGATGAAAAAAGAAATTCGTCCACTCGTTTGCGAAGAACTGATCGGCGGGATAACGGGAATTTCAATGATCATCAACAATTAGCGCAGTGAGTTCCCTATAAAAGTGGGCAGCGTCAAGGTGATTATAACTGATTTGGTTGTAACGGCAACCGGAAAATCGAAGTACAAATTCAAGTAATGAGTAGAATCATTGATATCGACAATTTTCCCAGCTTATCATCAGTTCTACGGGAGTTAGAAAGACAAGAGGAAATAAAGTTATTCACCACTACAAAGGCAGTGAGGCCTACAGGTGATCACCAAGCTCGAAAACCAAGATCGTTTACGACATTGGCTCCAACGACTGGGTCTAAACAAGAAAAACGCGACCGAAGAGGGAGCGATCCAACTGGTGTTAAACCTAAGGTAAATCAGCCGCGATTAAGGGTTCGCAGCGCGCCGTGCACGTCCATCGACCGCGCTACGGTGGAAAGTGACTCGCGTCTTACGGAGAATGCAAAAAAACTCAGTAACGAGGAACTGGCGCTGTTGTACGAAGACATCCTTAAATCGCTGGATTTTAATTCGATTCTTTTTGAACGAATGAGGCTCTTCGAACAAGGTGAACGAGTATAGAACTTTCGAAAGCAGACTCAAAGGCAATATTTATTCAAAATTACCATAAGATGAGATCTGCCGATGTAAATCCAGATTAATTTGTAATGGCTATGAGCGAAGTATTTCAAATTGTATTTCAGAGCTTCGTCGCTCTGACGAAGAGGTAACGCTTGAAACGTCAGCTTTTTTACTCTTTACGGTGGCCAATTTACGTTATCAGTTCAGTTAATAATATTACATTACCTAAACAATATTTATGGCGACATGGCTTTGAAAGCGGGACCTTTCGCCGATGTGATTTGAAAAAGAATATGAAATGTTGTGTATCTAAGTTAAGTTACTATGGCTATGCTCCTTTGACGAGAATCTGGTGCAGCCAAACATATCTTCTAAGGAACAAAAAAAGGAAAAGCTGGACATTTAACCAACATCGTACATTTTTGACTCTTATGAAAATGACGTGCTGTTGTAAATATTAGTTTATTTTATAAAGAAATAGATGGAAACTCGCTGTAACCGAACAATATCTCATTACTGAATAAGTTTTTGTGTTTGTCATTGCTTGCATAAATGGTACATATTTTACATATATTATAAGCTGTAAGTTTTAAGAGTAAATTTTGAATAAAACAGACGAAGATGTACGGACGCAAGTAGACTTCATTAGATAATTGTTTATGTAGATAAGAGTGGTTATTTTATGAAACACGGTTCGATAATGATCTTATATATGTGTCCGTAAACAGTCATTCATCCTGCCCTTACTAAGCTTTAGTCTCGCATCCAAATCCGAAACAAAAAAAACGAACATTAGTTTAAAAAGAGTTTCTGAGAGTAGAGATTTCTTCAAATGACACCGGTGGATCATGCTGATACCCCTCCTATTATCATCGGTTTATAACATTCAGAATACCCGATGCAGTGCGTGATATTTATTGCCTAATTCTTCCATGTTTTTATAACTGATAGATGAGACTTGAGGTTTACCTCAAGTTCAAAGCTGCAAAGAGTTCAGAATGCGGCCACCAAACTGCATCTTAAACAATCGAAATTTAACCAAATTGTATCACCATTGTTCTAATTAAGTACCGCAAAGAGTTCAAGAATTTTTTTTCTATGCTTTAAAGCAGTATATTTCATAGCGCCTAATTATCGGAAACTCGTCCTGAAGCCCTAGGAGGTAAAATTTTAGTTACGCAAGGAGCAAGGGCCATCTCGTCTTCCACCCCGTGCCTCATTAACAATGAAAACTCTTCCGTAAAGAGACACATCTCAAAGTACCAATGCAAAGTCCACAAAGGCATCGAAATTAAGACCATTGTGCTTCAAAGACCCCGCAAATCCACGCCTGTTCGAAGCATTTTACATACGAAAATACAGACCTACCCTCAACTTCTGAGAAGAATGCAGCGAACTCGCAGACTTTTTGTTCTAATGACTATTTAGGCATATCTAGAGAGATTCTTTGTACATTGACATTCGTTCATTAAATCATTTAATCTATTTTTTATTCGTATTATTTTATATTTGTTCGTTTTTATTCATCTTATGCGTTTTTCTCCCCGCATTCTTTCGCCTTTCACGCGTTTTTAATTTACATTCGTGTTTAAAGTACTTATGAAACGAATTTTTCTAGTTGACAGATGTATTTAAAATTAGAAATAATCGGCTTTAGTGCCTAACGACCATTTTTGGGCGCATTGAAAGTACGACTTGACGGCCAAAAAGTGTCCCCATTACGCACGTGGCCAAAACGATCATGTTGCGTAGCGGTGACGTAGAAACAGTGAAGACAGCTCGGCAAATATGGTGGAGAAAGGAGAAATCTAGAAGAGAGGACGAACATGTTGCGTGGCCGGAGCGCCAAATGATGTTAGCTACAATAATAGTATACATACACCAGGCATTTCTCTACACTACTCTTCTATGGGTGTAGCTGTGTGGCCAAAATGGATGCAATCGTCGACGTCGAGGAGATTTTCTTTTCAATTTTGTCAGCCTTATTCTCCGTACCGGCTTCGAAAACGTCTGTTAGGAACACATACCACCAGTCAAATCAGAAGAAGGTAGCCAATGAATTAAGCTAAAAAAAATACTGATTGAGGGGCTTGTTACCACACCGTACACGATTGTTCCAAATTATTTTCGGCCGACATTTTGCAAGCGAAGAATGGTGAGCCTCTTATTGTTTTTCATTTCACGCGCTTGAGATGTACTCATACTCTTTGTCTTTCCACATGACTGCATTTGCACTTTTCTTATCGTATGAAAACCCTGCCAGTTGTAGTTTCCATCTTATTTCAAAAACAGAAATACATCATTTATAATAAAGTTAAAGCCCTTTCCTGAGCTTACCGATATCCTGTTGCCCTGAACAGTGCGAAACCTCAGGTGGAAACTGACATAAACACAAGCTCGAAGGGGCCGTATATTCTCCCAACCTAGCTTTCCGAAAATCCATCCCTCGAGCCATCAATTCCCCCCAAGCCTAAAGAAACTAAAAGTAGCAAAAGTAGCAGTGACATTGTGATAACAGCACTGCAACGAGATAATTAAAGAAACAAATATTATTGAATTAGATGGTAGCGAATCCGATTGCTATAAGAAGTCGATCCATACGAAACATGAATTTTTCAACGCTGATGTCATTTATTCGCCATTGAGCGAAATGGGTCAGTTTGCAATGCTGCACTTAAACTCAAAACATTTTTCTCTATTTAAATCCTTATTTGAGATAAACTTGAACCAAATGACTTTATAGTCACTCGTTTTCCGTGGACCGGCTCGATGACGATAGCCTCTGCCTTTGAAATCTCTGAGGAAAGGAGCAACTTGCAGTGAAACTGCCCGATGACTTCTCGACGAAAAATCATCGTGCCTCGTGATACAGCTGATTCTTTCGTCAAAAGTAAGCTTTTGGTTTGCTAGGGAATTACTCTACAACAACGCAACTCTAGAGCACTGACCAAGGAGAACCTTCGTCGCACTCGGTGCGAAGGAATAAAATGTTGTGGCAATAGAAACGAACAAAGCTACCTATTCCTAACATAGATTTCGCCGTGGAAAACATAACACAAACGCAACATTCACAAACATTCAGTAACAGGAGTTTTTTTTCTTCGTTTAAATCTTCGTTCGACGCACGCGGTTCTCCTTCGTAGGGCTGAACCACACTCGCAACTTCTATTTAACAATTGGTTCATACGTCAGCGTGCGTTCATCGAAATATGAAGCACGTGTGCAGTTTGGAGAGCACGAAAGATACGTAAGAGTTGCTCGAAGGGTAGTCGAGAGCAACTCTAGCTTCTTGAGTGCTCTCCAAACTTCCCAATGCTTCATATCTCGATGAACACACAGCTGACGTATGAACCAATTGTTTTATAACATTTTCAACCTGATGGAAAATTTTTTTCTCGAGGGATTTGTTTGCTGACGTCATGAGCGTGCACAATAGGAATAGGAAGCACGCTCGCGCAATTGAATTTGATCAGACAAATTTACTAGCTATGTTATTATTCTTCTTTGCTACTGGAGTACAATGTAACACAACTCTCAGTAGAGACTGCCGAAAGTAGGTAGACATCGCCATCGGTCATTATTTTAAGAGTACTTCAACGAGAACTGACACAACATTACAATAGATGTGAGAGATTTGTAGGTGTCAACCGAGAGTTTTCACATTTTTCTATGTCATCATTCGCTTACCTCGTCGTCAGTCCACGAGACACTTTTAAGTCAAAACAAGAGCACTTTACGGCCCGAAAAAACCGAGTTTTACGTTTTTTCAAATTTTTTCTACCGGAATTTGTTTGTACATCTAATAAGCTACATGTTTACGCAAAATAAAAAATCGTGTCTAAGGCGCTTTAAGACTTACGCGAAATATTTTTTCATCCCTGATGATACCGTGGATCAGCGAAAGCCTGGATTTTAAAAGGAGATTTTAACATTAATTTACAGAAGTTTAAGGCCTCAATTTATCTTTCGTCAGTTTTATTATCTAAAATTCTATTGTAGGACGACATTCAACGACCATTACCATTGTAATTATTATAATTTTTATGATTGTTTGTCACCTTTAGATTATTGGTTGAGAGACAATTAGTCAATATTTTTTAATCAACTTTCCCTTGTGGAATAGGCATTCATAAAAGTGTGGGATTCGACAGGTTTTCTGATTAAAGACAAATTTTCCTCAGCACTACCTTCTAGCGTCATTATAAAACCGCTTCTTGATTTCAATGCGATAAAAATTACGTTCTATCATAGCCACATGCAGTCATAAACCGCCTATCAGTCCCTCCTAGATACTCAAAAGACTTACTGTTTGTGATATGATAAAAGCCGATTATGTCTTTGCTGTCGATTGTGATAATCTTATGATTAAAAAGGCAATCCAAACTTGCCCTTTGATTTCTAGAGTTGAATGTTTCACTGATATGGTGAGTTCCCAATATCTTAATTTCACCGATACATCCTCTGATTCTTTAAACGTTTGAGTAGATCAGTAGTTCATTTTGTTAAGTGGTACGGTAATTACTTAAATGACGACAGAGATCTTACTTGAATTCCAGAACTTTCACTCGTTTCTCAAGACTTTCTAGACTCGCAGTTAAGGCTCTCTTTCTTCTTAAAGGCAAATTGCTTGCATTCGTCTTTTCATTGGTTTCTGTCAATTTTTTAACGATTGCACAAAGTGTCTGCAATGCCGTTTCTGCGATTATCTTCTCCTAAACCGCTGTTTCATTTTAACGTAGTCCAAAGCTATCAAAACCACACTCGACAAGAGCCAAAGTACCACTGCTACGTAAAATACGAAACGGACAGTTTCAGCAAAAAGACTCTTAACATATCGATCCTTTTCATTCCGATCCAGAGCAGCTCAAGACTACTTTTCCCACATAACAGCTGAAGGTGTTTGCGCAGACTAAAGATGGGTCGGTTTAATCCAACTGTTATGAACGAGATAACTTTACATCCATATAGATTATGAGATAAACTGTTATCAGACGTCTGTAGGCTCACATAACCTGCTAAAACACAAATGACAGCTTTGGGTCAAAACTGACGAAAGCAGAACTTTTAAAACGTCTGACAGAGTTCCCATTTATCCACACCAAACGTACAAGGGAGTTTCAGAGAGAATTACCCTTCAACAATGAAACAGGTATGATTTATGAGCCTGTTTGAGGTGAGATCTAACGTCCTTGTTACGATTTTCGTGCAAACACACCGAATTTGTGTATACTCAATGAAATTGTCTCCATCTCATTCAGAAGAAAAACAAATGTGGGCACTCAAGCTTGAATGCCTGAGATTTGCATAGTCTTGTAAAGAATGGCGAGCAGTTATGCAATCTTTCAAAATTTCCACACACAGCCTGTACTTTGTTTTTTGAGCCTTTACGCATCGACATATTTCTGTTACCAATACCAACGTGTTTTACCCGCATTTCTCCATCAGTAAAAGATAAGAAGAAAAGAGGTTTGAATATTTTTATCAACATGTATATTGTCCGAGGTGGTAGATTGCATAACTTTATCCTGTTTGTTTTTTCTCTTAGTTACCTTCCTAGTTAGCTACTTGTGAGAGTAAGTTAGTTCAGTATGATTTAGTCATTCGTTAATCTTTAGAATGTAGTTACTGTATGAACTCAAAGTCTGAAGTTATTTTACGTTGAGCTATCGTAATTAGTCTCTGAATTGTGACTGCCTTGTTTAACCTTAAGTGGATCTGCTTGGTTTGTCCACTGACCTTGCATTGGCCTTTGCTTTCACCCACACGAAAGTTCTTGTTTTGGCTTACGCAATGAAAGGATTGAAACGGCGGGAGGAGCTGAAATGACGACGAACGACGAGCCGCTTAAACGATATTACAACAGCGACAAAGAGAAAAGTGAAATCGACGGCGAGATTGGCGTTTAAAAATTAGACAGCGACTTTCTGCGTATTTGGGTGGTTGAAATTGTATTTTATAAACAATTGTTAAGTTTAAAAACTCTCGCGACTCGTTGAAACATTCAATGATTATTTACCGATTGTTTATCCTTCTATTTTGATCATGTTTTCTGGTGGTCATAACAGCCTAACAGACGTACATGTTTGATCACTTGCTTATATTATTTTACAAAACGACACGTGCTTTCGTGGTAAGTTACATATCCGTAACCAAAGCTAGGGGCTAAACCAAAGTAAGTCAGTTATGACTTATTCCAATTTATATTAAAGTTCACACGGCAACCAGGTGGACAATCAGACATGGTTTGATGCTACTCTGGTTTACAGATTTAATGAATGTAATCGAAGAAGTTACAATTCATAGACCCAACGTTTCGACACTCCTGTCTAATGCCTTCATCAGGGGTGAGATGAATTGTAACTTCTTCGGTTACATTCATTAAATCTGTAAACCAGAATAGCATCAAACCATGTCTTATTCCAATTTGTCTGCACGATTTATTGTTACTCAGATTATCGGTTCATTTGGAGTAATTCTCAGTTAGTTTCGTTCTCGGTATGTACAATGTAATTTACATAAGATTTTATTTCTTAATTGCCTTTTTGTTCGACGTCCACAATATCAGTGATAATATTTTTTGCTAACGTCAGAGCTACGTTTCTTTTCTACCCTTTGATTATCATGATAATAAACTTGGATTTCGTTTTTTTGAGTGTTGGGAACTCGATGATCGATACACTTGATCTCTCAAAAGTCACAATGACATAGCTAAACTATACGTCAGTATTGATATATTTAACGGAGGACATTTGATTTAGCTAACAATTCAATCAGGTCTCCGCAGATCTCGTAAAAAAATTAAATGACTGTGCATTACAGTTGGAGCCCGGCCAACCGGACCAGCCTTGCTCATGAAATCAGGCATCTCTAGACCTTCAGCTGACGTCACGATGGCAAACGGTTTTGATAATTATAATAGGACCTTGGTTACTCTCGACGATTCATTTGCAAAGGAGCATAGCATCAAATATGCAGATCTCTGCGCGTTTCACTTTAATTCTCGTCGTGGCCGTGGGTAAGTTTATCTTTAACTACTCCACCTTCAGGTGTTAATCAAAGGGTTTAAAGAACACGAAAACCGTGGGTGTTTGCAAGGTATGACAGTACTCGAAATGACATGGTTGCAAAAATTAATCATTTCATTCCTCGCGTGGGGTTGATTTCGTTTAGTCTCGTTTCAGATGGTTTCGTTTTGTTATTTTTCTTCTTCCCCCTGGTAGCTTTGCATGTTTTCATACTTTTTCGTCACTGCGCCTAAGGATTCTAAATTACGGACCAACACGATTGCACCCTGACTAAATTGAGTCTGGTTTTTTCAGTCACCTTTGTTTATCACTGTACGTTCGATGCAGTTCGGTAAAATTCCCAGCAACTTGCTGCCCGAGTCTCTCGCCAATCTATTTGAACTCTTTCAAGTTAGGGCAAGACCTGCATATGCATCTTAACGCGCTTGCAGATCAGCGACACAAGGTGAAAGAAGTATTTGTTTCAGATACTTTGATAATAGTTAGAATCAAGCAAGGAAAATAAGGCGTTGGCTGCATTGTAATATTACTTTCTACACAATAATATAACACAGATACAAAACGAAATCAACAAAATTTATTTACTTTTGCAATTAAAATACATATCCCTCCCGCAAAATAGCGAAGCCAATCAAGGCGGAAGGGAAATAAACATTAAGATAAATTCAATTTTGACTGAAAAAAAAGAAACGTCTACGAGAGGATGGCATAAATCTCGTTTCTGATATTATTCGGCTGATATCACGGACACGAAAGTTATCAATCCGCATGAAGTAGAGTACGTTGGCCAATGTCCCGTACCTTAACCATATGCTTAGTCAATAACATATATCATTAAGTGGTATTGCGTCTCAGAAGCAGCGAAAGCGTTTTGGAGCGCGACGAAGAAAAGAAGGAAATAATTAGGGTACATCAAGCTAAACACGTTCTTCGACTCAAACCTCCTGAAATGATTGCTGCATAGCTTTTTTGGAAAAAGCAAATACACATGCAACCTCAAAATTGTCCAATATGTCTGTGATCAACATTTTATGTTGTATAAGAAGGCAGCTGTTTTACTAAAGAGTAGTTCCACAACAATTATCCTGATGAAACAATTGGCGAGAGGATCATGACACTAAATATAGGAAAAGTCTTGCATCATCCGGTTTGACCCGACGTATTCCCAATGAAACGATTATTGAAATTAACTCCCCTACACTTTCTTTAACTCTTTCAAGTTAGGGCAATTGCGCTTAGGGCAATTGCGTTTTTCCCACACCTGCATCTAAGCAAACTTGCCGATATACGACACAAGTTAAGAGAAATAATCGTTATGCGTACTTTGATCGCTGCTCGCATCTCTCAAGTGCAGTGATCAGGGCATGAACTTCATTGCAATTCTGCTTTCTCAGCACTAAATCTCTTAACGCTTATAGGTATCTTCTCAAACTGATGACTCGAGCTTGCGCTTTTCTGTTTTGCACATGCAACAGGGTTAAAGCTACTTGTCGTTTCATTTCATGAAAGGGATCCTGAGATCTAAGGCTGTTACACAGATACAACTGCGACTGTATAGCGTGAAGGAAGAGGGAAGCGTTCTTATACTGATCCCATATATAAAGTGGGTAGTTTTGTATAACTGAGAAAGATCTGAAATTGTTTAATTTTGTATTCCCCTATCATAACTTTAACATAAAACGACCTGCGTGATATAGTCCACGTTGTTACGGCTCGTTGGCAAATATTCTGTACTTGAACTACTTGCTTGGTTAATAACATCCGCCGCCTGGCTCGTCATATTAATGAGTAAAATTACTTTCCAGAGGAGGCGAAGCGTTTTGGACCAAGCAGAAGGAAGGAAGATGGGAGGGAGGCTGGGAGGGAGGCTGGGCAGTTCGTCGCAACCCAGGCCAAACACGTGCTTCTTCTTAAACATGCTAATTTGGATTCTGTATATTTCTCGCCACCGGCAATTAACTTCAATGCAATCTCAAAATTGTTCATTGTGTTCGCGAACGATTTTTGAATATGAATGTGTATGAAGCATGTCAATACATGTCCTACAAAATGACAAAGGAACTGTTGGTAAAAAGAATGCGAGACAGGATATTTGGCTTGAGAGATTTTATGCCGAACGAGCGTTAGTTTCCGGTCCGAAAGTGAAACTTGCGTGTTTAGGCGCAAGGAGGACAGATCCATAAAGTTTTTTTGACAATAATCTATAGCGTTGCATTCCTTTCTAATTACTTCCTTTACATTCATAAAAATCACTCTCATAGCAAACGGCTCACTGATGATTTGATCTCTGTCAATCATTGCTCTTACAGCGTTTCTCGTTGAAAGTCATGGGGCACTCCCTAACATTGGCCAATGTACTTTCATGGAGTACTATTGTGCTGCTCGAAAATGCGTCACATTATTCTATAAAGGACTACAAAAGGACCCCAAAGGAGACTGTTTGCAAGTTCACTTAATTAGCTCTAAACTTTGAGGTGTTTTGAAGGGCGAATCATTCCACTGTAACGCAAAACTGTCAGTTGGCCTGTTATGTTCATGAATTACGATGGACTCTCACTCAAAAATTGCTTTACCTCCGTGGCTATCTTGTTTTTTTTTCAGTGCTAAATTCGACCAAATGAAAGACTGTGTGGTGAAGGTGATGAAGTATTGTGCGAACTCACTGCCGGATAGCACCATCAGAAGAATTGTAGACGACAATTTTCCCAACAAAGAATGTTCTGAAGGCCCCACTCTAATATCATCTTCGTCAGCGGCATCACCGCTTTGTTCCAGCTCTTTCGTCACTGAAGCAAACGCCTGTGGAAGGACCTTCCGGCAAATATTCGTCGCTGACAAATCGAATTCCTCTCTTTGCGCGTGAGTTTGTGTAAACTATCTGTTTTCATACAATAAGCTGTATCCTACACGTATTCTGAGTGGTTGTTACTTATGATGTAAACGTACAGATTACGTCAACGCTATCCACTTTGCTTCTTTGTTATCCAAAGCAAACAGATTCCGTGATGCGGTGGTTTTACTCAGAATAATAAATTAACGGAGATAATTGATTAGAGCGCGATTGTGGAACAAAGATAAACTTCACACCCTTGTCTTGAGAATATTCCCCTGAAAAAATTGAGAGATAACAATAAATTTGGGAACGGGCGTAAAAATGTAGAAAATTTTGTCAAGACGAGAATCGAAACATCATTCCCAGTTCTTTCTCTTATCCAGATGTGGATAAAGAAGCCTTGACTTTATGTATCATTAACTTTAGCAGACATTTAAATCCACTATTTCCTTTAATTTAAAGCTCTGCAAGAAAGGAAGAAAAAAAGTAAAATTTTAAAGAAATTGATAGAGAAAAGGGACAAATTAAAATGCGCCTTGGTTGAGTATTACAGGAACAACAACAACAAACAAAAAAAACTCAAATATCATGATCATTGTTAATGGTGATAGAATTAATCGACAAATTAAGAAGATGCGCTTTATGGAAATCCAGTAAACTGACTAGAATCAATGCACAGGCAAATGTCAATAACCAAGCCGCCTTCAGAGGGTGACGCGAGTTTTGCCGATCAGAGTTGGCTCGGCTTTGTAAACCGAAATAGATCGAAATCGGTGTAGTCTCAGTTCCAAAACTGCATAACGAGGGAAACGGGCATACGTAGAATGATTTTGTTAACTTTCATTGTTTCAGGGAGGAAGCCAAGCGGAAGAAGTGTGTGAATAATCTGATTGATTCTGACTGCACCTTTTCCTCTGCTGACCGGGAAGTGTTGGACTTGGGGCTTGCTGACTACAATCCTTTCTGCGCAAACAATCGGGACCCTGGGGCGACCGGAAATGATCAGTGTTATGGCGTGACAGACATTTCCTCCGGTATGTAATGCAGGCGCTGCTGTTAGTTTTCATGTCCATTTGCTTCTTTTTCAACTATTAAAGAGGTTTCTAATTTGTTTCCGCAATGGTGGAATTAGATTTTACACTGAGCCATATGCGTTAACGATATTTCGAATAAAGGAAGTTAATTAGAAACCAAAGTGTTTCTTCCTTATCACAACTCACCCACGCCCCACCCACCCTCCCCCAGTCCCGAGCCCAGCAAATACTTCTCTGGACTACCTACGTTAAAGTTAATAGCTCTTTGGTAACTGGACTTTTATTGCAACTCCTTCCACTACGATGACTTTGACGAGCAACGATGGCTTTGTCAATTTTGAGTCCTGCTTGGCTACTGTAGATGACGCCTGTAGATGACACCTCCCCGAACCCAGAAAATACTTCTCTAGAATAACTACGTCTAACTACGTGAAACTTATTAGTTCTTTGGTAACAGGACTTTTATTGCAACCCCTCCCCCCCCCTCCCCTCCCCCTCCCCCCAAAAAAAGAGGTTTAGGCTAAGATTTGTACCTGTAAGGGACCAGTCAATATTTACAACCGTGGAGGGACTAAGGAGGACTTTTTTCGCGACAACAGAGCATTTACTTGAACTTCCCCTTAAAATATATAGCTTTTCTTTGATTTCCCCATATTGTCAGTGGAAGATGTCATGACCTCAAACCGATAAGCTGAATTTTTACAAAAGTGCCATTATGCAAAATACGAATTGCAGTAAAGATGGTGGATTCAAATAGAATTGAAAAGGAAGCTTCTATCTCGCATTTGAAAAGTTCGGCGAAGAAAAATGAAAACACTATTAAAGAAGAAGCGTTTTTAACAGAGGGCATACTTGCTTTTCGCAAAGCTTACCTCAAAAGAGCTTGCTGAAGAGGTGTTTGGTGCAATCAAATATAACAATAGTTTTACAAGCATTGCAACCATCTATGCTGAGATGACCGGGAAATTGGTCAGGCGTCTTCATCTTTACCCTCTGCTATGGCTGCCAGAAAAAGGCATTTTAAATACAACTTTTTCCGTAACATGCAGCTAATAGCAGCCAGTTCAAACGAAAAAAGCAGTGAAGAGTCTAGCTCGGACCAGGACTGGTAACAAATCGGACAAGGAGGCTATCAAAGGGTCAGCAGAGGGGAACTCCAAGAATCAGGGGGGGATAATGTTCAAAAGTCGGTAGATGGAGGCCTCGATCAGGTTGCTAAAGAAAGGTTGAGGGACGAAGCAGTCACATTAAGCCAAACACTTGTTGGTATATATATACATTTCCTTGGCAAACAACTGATACTTCAATCAAGGTAAAAACACCTGGTTTTTAAGGAGTCAAAATGTCTTTTCTTATTCGGTAGAACCCCGCTAACTCGAAACCTGTCAACTTAAACAGCCAGGAACTCGAATAAGATCCGATTTCCCTTGTACTTCACCCAGTTAATCCAGTCATTTACTATCAGCTACTTCGAGCTCTGTTAACTCAAGCTCCTCTTTAGCTCGAACTAATTTTTGCACTGTACCCTGGCTCAAATTTACCCTGATAAATCGAACATAACTGAAAACATCGGTCGATAAACGTTAGTGTCATAACATAGCTGATTAACACGTTGCAACCTTCATCTACCGCGACTGATACGAACATGACAACATTTATAAAAACGTAATGCATTTTGCTTTAACAAAATCCAGAAAGGCATCGAATCACAACCATTGTGCTACAAAGACCCCGCAAATCTACGCCTGTTCGAAGCATTTTATATGCTAAAATACAAACCTACCCTCAACTCCTAAGAGAAATGCAGCGAACTCGCGGACTTTTAGTTGAAATTATATCCTATTGAGCGTGACTGATAATTTCGCTTTGGGAAAATGAGCCAAATTGAAAGAAACGACCGTAAATCACTTCGCGTTTAAAGACATCAAGGTCGATTGAAGAGTATACACGTGAGAACAGCGAGTCAGTAAAATAAGACGTCAGAATCGTCAGGGCTTCTCTTATATCTTCTCTTGACGTTGTCAGGTATGACTCCTTGCCCCACCGTGTTTCCATAACGTTACAACTTCTACTGTTTAGCGTAGAAAATTTAAAAAAAGCAATTTTCAACTCGTGTTTGAACCTATAATTTTTTTTACCATAACTTTTTCTCTTTTGGCTATCCTTGTTTCATGATCGTCCTCTGGCTGGAAATACACGGTGTCTTTTTGAGATTTTTTTCTGTTATTTAATTCAGCACCCTCTGCTGTAACTGCGTATAACGTAGGTGTCTTTAAGTCAACTGTCCATGATCTTAACAACTCTAGCTAATGAAATACGAAATTTGTCTAAAATATTTCTTGCATTGCGAAAGTTTGCTTTGAGGGAAGACAGGCTAAAACTAGAATATCATTATTAAAACTTGATAACGAAGAGAGACTTGGGATTCGACCATGAAGACATTTGTAAATACTTGAGATAATAGCTGGATTTCATTTTTGAGATTGTTGAGATGTACGGTGATTACTTAATTGACGACAGAGATCTTACCCGAATTCCAGATCTTTCACTCGTTTCTCACGACTTTCAAGACTCACAGTTAAGGCTCTCTTTTTTCTTAAAAGCAAAGCTTTTGCACTTGTCTTTTCATTGGCTTCTGCAAATTTTCGAACGATTGAACAAAATTTGTGCAATACCACTTCTGCGATAATCTTCTCCCGAACCGCTATTTCATAACATAACAGCTGAAGGTGTATGCGCACACGAAAGATGGGTCGGTTTAATCCAACCGTTATGAACGAGGTAACTTTACATCCATATAAATTATGAGATAAACTTATCAGACATCTGTAGGCTCACATAACCTGCTGAAACACAAATGACAGCTTAGGGTCAAAACTAACGAAAGCAGAACTTTTAAAGACGTCTGACAGAGTTCCCATTGATCCACACTAAGCGTTCAAGCGAATTTCAGAGAGAATTACCCTTTACCAATGAAACAGATATGATTTGTGAGCCTGTTTGAAAAGAGATCTGATGTCCTTGTTACGATTTTCGTGCAAACACACCGAAGTGGCGTATTCTCAATGTCTCTAGCTTATTCGAAAGGAAAACAAATTTGGGCACTCAAGCTTGAATGCCTGAGATTTGCATAATTTTGTAAAGGATGGCAGGCAGTTATGCAATCTTCCAAAATGTCCACACACAACCCGGCTGTACGCTGTTCTTTGAGCCCTCACGCATCGATATATTTCTTTTACCATTACCAACGTGTTTTACCCGCATTTCTTCATCACTGAAGAATAAGAAGTTGAAAGGGTTTGAATATTTTCATTAACATGTATATCGTCCGAGGCGGTAGATTGCATAAATTTATCCAGTTTGTTGCGAGCTTCTTACGTTAATTCCCTCGGAATTAAATTAAAGTAAGTCAACTGTAACTTGGCACAATTTGTTTGCATGATTTATTGTTGGAGTAATTCTCAATTAGTTTCGTTCTCGGTATGTACAATGTAAGTTACATAAAAGTTTTCTTTTCTTAATTACCTCTTAAATCGACGCCCGCACCATATCATGAAAATATTTTTTGTTACTGTCATCGCTACGTTTCTTTGCTACCCTTTGATTATCGTGACAATAAACTTGGAGTCGATACGTACTTGGATTCTTTTATTTTCTCGTCACCGCTAGTTGACCTAGTTCGTGTGTTCGTTTTTTTAAATGCTCCTAATAACCCGCTACACGTGACCTCTCAAAGGTCACAATATCCGTGAGTGTTGACAGTCTTACGCGTAACCTGTGGTGTCTGAATCTCTTCTGTTATCTTTCATATCTTTCATATGTTGCACTTTGGTTGATAATTATCCGAAAATGAAACGTTTTGGGAACAGAACTGCAAGAACGCATTTACGTTAAACATTAATTCTATACTTAAACATTTCCAATGTCGATATCAGTGGCTCTGACAGCGGTGTAAGAAGCTTCGAAATTCCGACGTGAAAAGGTTTTAAACTCATCAGACAGGGTAGAAAGACAGGTTAAGAGTTCTCCGTACCCACTACAAAGCGAGTTTCGGTCAGCAGCTGGTTCACCATCACTGCCACCCAACATTAGCGGAGGACATTTGATGTCGCCTACAATTTAATCCGGTCTTCAATTTTCTTGTCAAACAATGCGTGACTGCGTATCATAGTTGGAGTCCGGTCAACTGGGCCAGCCTTGCTTAGATAATCAGGCATGTCCAGACCTTCAACTGACGTCACCGAGAAAAAAGCGGAAAAATCGATACAGCAAACGGTTTTCGTAATTATAATAGGACCTAGGTTACACTCGACGATTCATTTGCAAAGGAGCAGCGAAGATGCAGATCTCTGTGCGTTTCACTTTTATTGTCGTCGTGGCCGTGGGTAAGTTCATCTTTTACTGTTCTACCTTAAGGTACTAATCAAACGGTTTGTAGAACACGAAAAACGTGGGTGTTTACAAGATATTACGGAACATAAAATGCAAGCGCTTGAAAAAATTTATCATCCTATTCCCCACGTGGAGTTGATTTCGTGTAGTCTCGTTTCGGATGGCTTCGTTTTGTTATCTTTCTTCTTCGCTCTGCTAGCTTTACATGTTTTCACATTGTTTCATCGCGACGTCTATGGATTCCAAGTTACGGACCAACGCGATGACACCCTGACTAAATTGAGTCTAGTTTTCGTAAGCAGATTACCATGTTCGTGCGGGAGAAACATCTCTGGAAAAGAAAACTCTGGTGTCGATCCGGCATGCGGTTTTCCGGTAAAAGCATTTGATGTCTTACAAATGTGCCTTTTCAAGTGTTGATCAATCTCAAACAAAGCACCTATTACTGTACCATTTTCGGAGGGCGAAAAAACGAAATTATTCCGTAAAATTGGGCAAAACACCCGACTGCTGTAAAATATTGACTGCACAATTTAATATGTAATATGGTAATATGCCAAGGGTGAGGGTAACATGTCGTACATTTCCAAAAAAAAGTATTTCAGCATTTCAACTT